GAAAAAGAAAATATATTAGGAATTTAATGAATTTAATTGTCATTAAAATAATAAGTGTCGAAAATAATTACAAATTAAAAATTTAATTTTTATTTATTTCTTTTATAATAAAATACGTGGCATTTTAATTTACAATTCGTCATTTGAGATTTCAATAAATTATTTTGCATAAAATATAAAATACTAATATTTCATAAATTCTCTTTACAAAATTTTAATTTTAATAATAGAATTTCTATAAGGTAATTCGCCCTTCTCACTCTCTCTCAATCGGTCTCAATCGCTCTCTCCTTAATATATAATAATACAATAAAATAAAAACAAAGATTTGTCCTCTCCAGCAGCACAATTTACTTTTTTCTCTCCTAAAACGTCATAGATCTGGTCCGTTCACAATACCTTAATAGCATTTTCGCTAGCTCGCTACAAAACCTAATACAAAATAATGGTTGCAGGTAAGACGTCGTAAAACTTTCTTCACACGCCACAGGCTTGTCCCTAATTACAAACTCCAATTACAGTATTACAATCCTTTATGGCAGAATGGAAGATGCCAATAACCTCTATATAACAAAGTAGCATGTTGTCTGAACTATAAAAACTAGTGTTCTTAATATTTAAACATTATTATATTTTACTATTAGATCTGGGGCTCAAAATTGTGTATCTGTTTCGTGATTATTTGTTTCTCTGTCTGACAAACATTGTCGATCTTTTTTTGTCGACGAAGATCTCAGTGATGAAAGTCGCACGCTGAAGCTAGGCTAACACTGTAATTAGAGCTTATCATTGTGCATATAAAAAAGTAAGAAAAAAACAGTGGAATTCTCGGCCGTAGATTACAGTTTGTTACGGGGGTTATGTATACGAAACATGTTTGATTCAATAGGAATATCCTTCAAGTAATAGAAAAAAAAATACGGTAATAAATGTATAATATATTTAGAAGAAACTCCTTTAAATTTTATGTAAACAAAAATTGTATAAATGTGTTGAAGATACATACTCAATATACTAATATATAACAATATACACAATATTTCAAAACTGCAAAAGCGTGAAGCGTAATAAAAATATTCCAGGGTGATGTTACAAATTGTTCAATTTTCACTACAATGGGTACAGTGCTATTGTGTAAAATGCAATTAAATAAACTCAGTGGATTGCGCGATGAATAAAATGGCTCCTATTTCATAATGCACTAACTATAAAACTGGACTTTGTGCAGCTTTTTGTCTCAAATTTATGTCCAACTGCAACTAAGCCGTATTTTAACTTAACGGAGTGAAAAGGGGCAAAATGTTTTACTATGAATTTTACGATAGTTCTGTATTCTCATAAGAATTGACCATAGTCAATACGTTTAAGTATTGAAGATTCTCTGGCAGAATGACCAGCGCTGTGGAACATTCTGATCCTCAGCATAATACTGAGCCAGGGACAATTACAGCCAACACACCCATTACACACTTGAAACGAACCGAATGGGAATGGGCAAACAATTTTTTTTTATATCTCTCGTTATATTTTTTATTTAGTTTTTTTCTTTGATTATTGTGATTTTGTGTCTGTGTTTTTGTTTGTAATTAATTAAGTCTATGTCTTAATATGACCACGGAGTGGAGCTCAACATTATAATGTAAATATTAAATTTTCTAGATACCTCAGACATCCCATTATTCTATTAGTCCCAGATCCTTTCCGGAGAACGCGTTTTGGTCAAAACTCACCGACGTCCAGATTGAGCATTCTGATAAACGAGCTGGGTCTGGATATCTATAGTTGCTCACACTTTAAAATCGATTTTCGTTTAGTTTTTATAGTTTAAATGTTTTGTTTAATTTTTTATAAATAAATTAGTTAAATAAACAATTCATAATATTATGTTTACTACGATATTTCGTGTTGTTTGTTTCCGTGAGAGATTCTGGAGTAGAAATTTGAATTTATTTACTTGATACCTGAAGAGGAAAAATAAACGAATGAAACGATGCGGAAAAATATGATAAGGGTTAAAAGGAAATCGCATCGTAGGGTAATGTTAATAATGACCATCTAACACAAAATAAATCCAGTATTAGTAGTTGCTGAGGTTTACATTTAAACAAACAAACCCTTTAGCTTTATAATATACTAGTAGACTCGGCCAAGCGTTGCTGTGGCTAAGATTTTTGTTATATTACATAGTAGTAGACTATTCAAGAGAAACGGCAGGAGAACACCAATCCACCATGCTTTTTTGGTAGTAATGCCATTAAATTGTAGCTTATGTGAAACGTTGGTATTTATTTTGATAAGGATCAATACCTAGGTACGAATAATGAGCCTTTTCTAGCGGTGGTATTTTAATAAAAAAATTAATAAAAGGACGCTTATTGTGACGTAACTATAAAAGATAGAGACAAGCTATCGAGACATTTTTTATAGATAGTGATGTGTCCTGAAAAATTGTAATACATCATTTTGTTTTATCATTAATAGTTTTCGCAGCGCTTCGATTGAAGGAAGTTTTTTGTTTATTTTTTTACACCTTGGGTTAGATTATTCAAGTTTTAGTAAGCATCCCTAATTTTTTTGAAAATGAAACAAAGCCTATGTCACTCGGGAATAGTGTAGCTTGCCAACGGTGAAAGAATTTTTGAGTAGTTTCGGAGCCTATTCATTTAAAACAAACAAAAAATCAAATCTTTCCTCTTTATAATATTAGTATAGATAGTTATTATTTACGTTATTCAAAAAATAAAACAATTTTATGGTCATAAATGTTTTACCAAGCCACAATAAAATTTTTGCATAAAATATTCGAAAATTCTTAGCAAAGGTATTTTTACAGGTATTTTCACTTTGACCCTACCGATCTTATCTTAGGTATGCCATAAAGGGGACGCTTTGACCCGACTTAATCCACCAAACATTATCACTTTTCAGTGATTAAAATCTTTTACTAAGTTATTGCTTATTTATGTCTAAAGAGATTTAGACACAAGGTTTCTAATCTTTTAAGAGTTTAAAGTTCATATTTAGTTGACCATTTAAAAAAAAGTAATTCGTGTATCAAAAAAGTGTTATTTATTATTAAAGCACACATTTTGGGAATTTATTTCTTAAAAATAATACCGTCCAAATGTAGACCCTCGCGTTCGCGGCATCCATTTAATCGAACAATAAAATTACGTATGACGGCTCGGCAGGTGGACTCAGAGATGGCTGTGATTTCGTGACGGATATTTTCTTTCATTTGCACCAGAGAAGTTGGCTTATTGGCGTAGACTTAAGATTTAAGACAACCCCATAAGAAAAATCTATAGGTGTTAAATGGGGTTAAAATCCATAGGGGGGACTGCGTGAAGGCCAATTTATGTCACCTCTCCTGGAGATCAATTTGCCCGAAAATAAGCAGGAATAATTAATAGCTTTACAAACAACCTTTTTTGGAAAGATGACTTTGGTTGGAACCTCTAACGGTTGTGGTTGTCGGGTTAAAATCTAAAGGTGTAAATAAAGGAAAGTGAGCATATGAAATTAAACGCTTTTTTGGCCCGCGCCTGAATGTCGTGCTTGACGTGGGAACTGTGGGGCTGGGTTTACATACCATTCTCTCTGCTATTCAGAGAAGTAGCGAGACCCTACCCACTAAAAACACTTCAGCCGCCCTTATGATCGGCCCTCGGGGTTCGCCAAGGCATTCTACCCAAGGGATAAAAAGGAATGTTGAATGGCCAACCTAGGATATAATGTTACATACATCTCAAACCTCACAGCCTATTTTCTCACCTTTTGCCTTAGAAATTCGACCGTGCCAGCCATATACGGTTTAAGCACTCGCCCGGTACCGCACAACCCTCCCAAAGGCAGAACACAAATTTAAATTTATAGAAATAAACTTGCGCTCCGACCGAGAATCGAACCCGATACCCCTCACCTAGGGGACACTTAATAAGACCACTAGGCTATGAGGCCCTTATCAAATTTTTTAATTAATTCCAACCAATTGGATCTATGGTGAACTGATCTGAATTTAGACCAATATTAATATCTTTAAATTATTTGCTAAGTGTGTCTTAAAGAGAATTTATTTACCTATATTACTGCTAAATTATAAAAACGAGTTATAATTTTTATAGGCAAAACTGAACGATAAATACACAGATTGTGTTCTGACATATATTCCGAAGAGCGAAATATTTTTATCGATCTTTTATTCCTAGTGTTTAATAAATATTTTATAGACAGAATAAAATATTAAATTAAAGTTTATAATTCTAAAATTTTAATTAGATGCAGGATGCATATGAAATAGGAGTAAATTGTGCTCGTTTCTTAAATTTCCAGTAAATCCAGACGTGGAATTCAGTTACATTTCTGGTATGAAAATATACCTGCCTCAGTAAATCTAGAGAATCCCATTGATGTCCAATCCAAGGCTATGTTTACGCAGTACTAATGAAAACAAAATTCCCGCCAGATATTAGCCGGGCTATATATAGAAACGGTTAATAAGCCAAGGTCTGGTTTACTCTCTTTACGACGGACAATTAAACGAATATTTTACCATAATTTGTACTGATTAATTTAAAATCTTCTATTTTTTAATTTTATAACTCGTCTTAACGTGGACAACAAAACAAATAAAGTCGCTTTAAAACCTCACATTCTTGCTTCCACACAAAAGTAATCAAGTGTGAAATAAAAGCTAGTTCAAATGAATTGAAACTCATTAGTTCACTAACTTCGGTTAGAAAAACTCACGAGCGATATCGTCAATTATTTTCTCGCGAGATTTATATTTATTTAATATTTTATTATTTTTATATTTCCTTACTTGTCGAAGTCTTTTTTCTTTGCTTCATCAGAGGTTAATAATTACACTTTTTGCTATTAAATTTGTGTTTCTGGTAATGCGCAGAGCTAACTAAATAAGTGTGAGAAAATAATTTATTATTAAAACTAGGGAACGATGCGGCTATTTAACATAACAAGTGTAAAGTGAAAATACAGAAATGGAGAACAAAAGCGAGTCGGACGAAATGCTCGGGCGTGTGTGTGGGCAAGTTCAGAAAGTGGATTTATCGTCAGATCTGTCGAGAGATTTGTCGTTCGAGGAGTTGAGGAACAAGTTCGATACTAGCGCTGCGGTTAGGCGAGAAATAGCCTCGAAACCTTCGACGCATGGCAGCGCCACACGACAGCTTGTTAGCGGAAAGGTTTTCAAGAAATGCAAGAGCGCTACGTTTCAAATAGATGGCGCTACTTACACCATAGGTAAGTGGATTGTCAAGAGAGTTGGTATTATACAACAGAGGGCGCGCTCAACGGTCTTTCATATATTTCATTTAAATGTTTTTAAGTTTATTGGAGTCCTTTTATCGGAATTATTGTATGTTCTACACTGAATATTTCACTTAAAACTTTTCTTGACATTTCTAAAGAAATAAAACAAACATTTCACTTTCATACTTTTATTGGATTAAAATGATAAGCGTAATTATTCAAAAATAAACCTTTAATACAGTTTTGTTTATTTTTAAATACAAATTTAAAGATTATTTAGGTAAAATTTTCTATCAGTACTTCGGACACTTCCCAGGTAGGTTATGTTATAAATCTACAAGTTAGTGAGTAATCAAATATTTATGACACGCATTTTTTATACAATCATTTTTTTTCAGGTAAGCCCTCCTTGTCTTCATATATTTTATGTAAGTTTTTTTATACGTACATTACTATATCCTTTATTTTCTATATGAAAAGTCTGAAATTAAGCCTTAATTGAAAATACCTTAGTTTGATTCACCCTCAATAGCAATTAAAATCAAGTCAGGATACATATATCGTTTTTATTATATCTGACAAAGTCTAACAAGACAATTTAATATTTATTTAAATCAATTAGATATAAAAACAATCTATAACAAACAGCAATAACTTAAACCTTAAAATATAATAACTAAAATATATTATTAATCGGAGTCCCTTTAGGCAAGGTTCCGAAGATACTGGCAGCATTCCCCCTTTGAATAGCTAGACTAAATCTTTGTTCAAGGTAGCCGCCAGCTCTTCGGCAGCTACCTCGTCGACTAACCACAAATCCACCGAAAGATAGTTCGCATAAAGCGACCAATACGCAATAATTTCAGGACATGTAATATGTGTACGTGGATCGCTCAAATACACGTTGTTAGGAATGAAGATATTGATTTCTATCTTATTACAATCGGGCCAACATGCGTAAATGATAATATATAATTCTAGACAGATGAAATATTTAGCGAAATTTCAATATTATAGAACTATTCGATAATGTATCATATTTGAAAAGTTTCATCTTCATAGACAAATCGGCCTTTTGTGTCATGTTTCCTTCATCATATAGTTATTAGTAGTAGCCGTTGTGTTGACTCAAATTCCACACGTAGACGCCCATTTGGTCCTAAATCTTAATTAAGCCAGCCTATCCTGCCAGAAGTAAGCTCAATCATATGAGTTTTAAGGATACAAAAATCTATTAGAACGCACGACCCTGTTTTCCTTTTTCGATCTCGTGGTTGCCATTCTGTAATAATAATTTTTGTCCATTTCAACCTGGAAGCTGTCTCGGCATGTGCCCGGTCCATCACCATTGATATAAGAGATAATGGCTAAGTCTGGCAGCCGTATGTGACACATGGTAAGATACATATGTACAACCGATTTTCTTAGCTACCATTGGGAAGTCTTAATTTTTAAGAACTTCCTAATAAAACCTACACACGAAGATTATATATATGTAATTATATAAAGATACAAATTAGTGATTATATAATATATTTTATATGACATAGTGTTGGTATATAAATGATGGATCACGACAATTCACTGTCAGAGTTCACGCAATCTATCACAATTTATACGGGACTATATTATATAACCTAAAAGGTTATTTTTATATCAGGAATATATATATATAGAGGCTAAAGAGATGTTAATTGAAAACGCGTTGTAGGAGTGTTCTAGCATAACGCGCTTGTAAGAACCCATATAACGCGTTATGTACAAATGATTCTCCTTATGATCGTTAATATTAAATCGAATATTAAGAAATATGTTATGAACGAAATATATGCGTACAAATTACAGATGTATAACGTGTGAAATCCCCACGTTATATGAGGGGCTGAAACCGCGTAATATGAACCGTACTAGTACTGTAATAGTATCGTGTTATAAGCGGGTGTATTGTACTTTGGTTTTTTAAAGACTAAATGATAGTCAAAAAAATTAACTTTAATATACAAAAATGCTTACATGACATGAATAAATTTATTTTTTCTTGGTATATAATAGAGCAGTGATGGCTTAGGCGTGCAACTCTACGCTGAGGTCTTACGTTAATGACTTTTCTTTATATTAAGTTACACATGCTCCTATGTGAAAGCAAACATCGTGAGGAAACTGGAATGCCCTAAACCTGAAAAACAACATGAACCAGACACTTAAATATTTTAACACTTCGATTCAAGAAAACAGTACAATTAATATAATTAAATAATAAGCAGGGCAACGGTCTTTCGAGAAATCTGCTAAGGGTACTTAATAATAGGGCTTTGCTTCAGTAAATTTTACGCCTATTAACGTTTATTTACTTTCATTAATAGCATATCTATTAATATTAATATTTCATACATTTTAAAACGTCAATTTGGCAAAAAACTTAAAAGACTTCGCCAAATCAAAGACAGCGTAATTGCCCTTTTTATGGTTTCGAATAAAAAATATATTTACGAATGACTTTTTTTCCCCAATTATTTAACTACCTAATAGAGATTTCGGGGGCAAAGCCGGGATCAAAGGTTTTCATAAGAACCAAAGGAATAACAAAAATTGGATTGGATATTATTTTATAAGTGAAGATTTTTTTAAGTGTTCCACGCAAGACTAAATAAACTCAAGCTCAAAATAACTTTATTCATATAGTTGACACTGATGATCGTCAACAGATAAGATGTTAAATTGATTCTAAAATTACAATTACTACCAGTTCGCAAGTCAAGGACGTAAAGCAGGCACGAAGAACTGGCAAAAAACTCTCCGCCACTCTTTAAATCTTTGGAGTCATACAAATTGTTTGTATGCAGCTATAAATATTTAAACTGGAGCAAATCGTCAAAAAAGCTTTATTGATTAATTTATGTTTAACGAGAGTTTTGAATTTATTTAGTGATAATTCTCTAATTTCGCTTGGGAGTTACAAGCCAAACGATTACACCAGTAACACCAGGAGAATTAGAAGTTGCCGGCTTTGAACGTAGTGGTACGATCTTCTCTTGAAGGGCCCTAAGTAGTAATAAAAAATTTGTTCATTCATTATAAGTTCATATACATTACAATGTGTAAGATTTGGGAACCCTTTTCAGTAAAAAAATACCTGTGTTAGGGTTCCCAGCTATTCCATAACAAACTTAACTATACATTTCTTAATATATATACAATTTAATTACATCTTTTATTTTATTTATTTTTGTTTTTGATTTTTTAACTGTTTTCAACACGCGTGAGTGCATGAGTGCAAGTGAGTGATTGAGTGAGTGAATGAGTGAAATGTGCAACTACGTATTAGGTCTCAGAAGCATCTCCAACACTGCGTAAGGTGTGTTCATAAGCCTTTAATCGTATTTTTAAATGTTTTCTGAAATGGAATGAATGGCAGATGGTGAAATAATACTGCCATAGAAATTAGATTGACAACGACAGTAATTGCGAGCAGTAATTTGACCCCTTATGTCCCTTTGGTTGAATACCAGCGAGCCATGAGGGTTCAGAGCTCTTGCGAGGCTTGTGACCTTTTTAGGGTATATATTAGTATTTTAACACTGTTTGTATCGGGTGAACTATTGATAAATGAAGAAACATCACATGGAAAAGTATTTTTAATAAATATTTATTATGTAATTATACATTAAGTTAAATATATTCCTTGACTTCATATTGACCTGTTCGCCTCAAGTGTGGAATACCACGTTAGAGTTGCCTATCGGCAAGGAGAGCTCTAACATCTGAGTTACGCAGTGGAATAAATAGTGTATCATAAGTTTTTATTAGTGTGTAAGTTATACTACCCTAAGTATTCCTCAACTAATCTTTGTTAGTTTATTGCTTTCATTGATAGATAAGTTGGATTAAAATGATTTTATTGTTACCAATCCATTTAATTAATAAGTACTTAATTATATGTAAAGATTTATTTAATGGCGTAAAAATAACTTTATATTTAGTAAGAAAGTTAGTTATAAGCTGTATGACTATCTCAATAAATTAAATTTAAATAATAATAATAATAACCTCTTTTTTGTAAGCGTAATATGTTTTTTGAAAATTTATGCTCACCATAATTATTATATATTTTGGAAATTACATTGTATTATTTTAATGAATAGATAAATATGTGAAAACGTGGAGCCGCGTTGGCGTACGACAATCTCGAGATCATTTGTTTAAAATCTAAACCTTCTTTCTATGGGCACAATTTACACATACTTATTCCAACGCTTGTTGAAGTAGTTAGTCTTCTATACCTAACCTGCGGGCAAATGAAGCATATTAGAAAACAAATTTGCCCGGCGGAGTCTGGTCTGTTTGGAATAAATTCAAAAACTACTATTATTTTCACTAACAAAAAACATATAAAGATTTACGTGTCACTCCGTGCGAAACCGCAGCTAGTATGAGAAAAAATGTTTAAAACATTAATAAACTGAACAATTTATTTTTACTACTCATAAATATATGTATATATAGTAAGGATTCATTGTAGCAGTCGACGTTTTGACCCCTGGTTAGCCATTACCTGGAATTGCAACCACAAACCGCCAGACACGAGATAACTTTGTATTGTAAACCAAAATTGTGCCATAAAATTAAAGGAGTTTCAGAAGCTGTCTCGTCTTTTCTTAATTTGTTATAGTTCTTTATTCATAAAAAATTAAATAAAATACGTTTATTATGGAACATAAGAGTACTATATCACTTATTCCGCGTCATTTAATTTGAATAAGTAGACATCCCTACTCATCTGCAAAGAAGACAGGGTGTAGGCCGAGAGAAAAAGCCGGCGGAAAAAACTCTCGGTACTCTCTTTAAATAGCCAATCATCAAACAACACTTATTTTAAAACAAATATCGCAAATCAATTAGAAGTAGCCTGTTTAGCACTAGTCCCAGTCTCTTTTATCAACTAGATAATCGTTAACTTTATAGTAAGCCTTTTTACATCGCTTTTCTTTAATACATTTCTTAAATTTATTAAATGGCAGAGATAAAAGAGCCTCTGGGGTTTTATTAAAGAAGAGTATTCCTTTTCCCAAAAAAGAATTACTAACTTTAGATAGTCTAGTACGGGGAAATTGCAGCCTGCGTT